TAGGAGCAAGGAAGCTACTAGGAGCAAAGGGCATCGCTACTAGGAGCAAGGGCATCGCTATTAGAAACAAGAATTAGACTAGCATTAAAAGCAATTAGAATTAAGTTTAATTAGAATTAATTAGAATTAAAAATTCCACTTGCCCCTGGGCAACATCTTCTTGAACCACCATCAGTGCTGCCGTCCCTTGACTGTCCAAGATCTTGGGGCTTTGACGGACACACCCGTGGGGTGTTTCTCAACACCCTGACACACCAGTGACACGTGACGTCCACTCAACCTTCCAAACACCGGCGACAAACATGCCTTGCCGCGAAGCTGCGCCGGAAGTCCTGAACAAATCAGGGCTGTGAACTCGAAACATGTGCATGTTTTTCTCTGGCCGAGGGCTCTGTTCGATGGGTCTTTAATGCCAAAGTGATCCAAGCTGAGAGTCTAACCCCAACTTGGAGGTTTTAACCTGGAGATGTCTCTTCAATCTCACTTGTTCATCGACCAAGCGAGGTCAACCCCATCTCCCATCTCCTCAAAAGCTTCGCAGGCCTTTGCACGAGAGACATTCTACACTCAGAGAGGAATTATGGAGCAGTTTGGGGGGTCCCCTTCGGAAGGTGCAAAGGCAGAATGCTGGCCGTCTTTTAGTCGACAAGGCACACGCAAACTCTTTTTTCAGAACACTAGCCCACCAAGTACTATCAAGTACTGATCTTGCAGTTCATTGCGTGTCCGCACTTCTGGGTCAGGGATGATGTGGACAAGCACAATTTTGGAACTTAGATTCTTGCCAGTTTTAGAGCCCTGTTTGTTCCACTGACGAACTGCTCGTGCTCGCCTCTCGGATCAGAACGGCATCTTCGCCTGTCGGGAGAATGATTTCATACTCACTGTCTGTTCTTTGTCCATGTACCACCCTTGTTGGCAAGCAGAGGGTCACTTGGTCCTCATTGGTCTGGCTGCCCCCACAAGAAGCCGCCAGCCAACATCAACCTGTATATCAACGAACCCTACCCATATCCAATTGCCGGAGGACAATGACAACTCACCAACAAGAAGACGATACCTTTTTGTGTTTCAACTCGGCTATGTGAAATGCAACGTGAATTATTATATAATTATATAGTTAATTCATGACCATATTACAATATATTACACCTACTATTCAGCAAAGGCACTGAGCCACAGAAAACCACATGAAACAAACAAGCCACTGTCTGACAGCCAGCCCCAGGACTGGCTGGGCTCCTGGCAGGTCCAGCGCGCCCAACTGGCGCACGAATCTTCACCACTGGAACTACTATCCGTCAGTTCCCTTATGACATCTTGCTGATCACCCAGTTAGGTGGTGAGAGTGGTGGTGAGCACACCACGCGTTCCAGGCAAGGGTAGGGCCAGGGTCATTTGTCTGACATTGCCGGACTACCTCGTGTTGATGTGCCAGATCACCATTTGTGTCCTAATTGTTCTACCCGTTGTGACTTCTCAGAGTCTGTGGGGGCCGAGTTCCTCCTTGCAAACAAAAACACAAAATAATATATTGAGAATCCGCTAGCCTTGCCAGCATGTCTAATGAATTAGTGGGGGGGTGCTGTGTTTTGTTTTGTTTTGATGCTCGCTTTGCTGTAAATGTAGGGTGTGTTCCTCTTGGACGGGTTTGTGATTTCATTCAATAAGTCAACGCCCCCCACCCCACACCCACCCCGTCGTTCCTCGTCCTGTCCTCGTCCTTTTGTCCGATATGCTGGGCTCAACTCGATCGTCTAGGCTTTAACCAGCGATGTCCCCGAACTGTTCGTCCTCTTATTGCCCCCTGCTTCGACAAAGTAGAGTTGCCGCAGTTTCGCCATATAAACATTAGCCGCCGAGCCATACATGCCCGATCTTTTAGATCTTTCAGACAGGGTTGCCAAAGGCTTGCGTGTTGAGCCTGAAGCCCGCGCCTGCGGTGTTGAGAGCCTGAAGAGCTGTGTGCAGCTGCATGCAGGTGGCGAGCACCACCTGGGCCCATCGAAGTAGCATCCGGACTGCTGCTTTTGATTATATAGTGGCCTCTTTCAATCAGTGACCAACACCATTTGTCTACTTATTGGCATTTACTGGATTTTATTGGTGCATAATGTGCTCACTTCCAACATCTTGCAATGTCGAAGACGTGTAAGAAAGTGCAGGATCCGTTCTCACAACAATTGAATTGGCGCCAAGATGATGTAGGATGCCCTCGATGCCAGCTCACAGCCTTTTGCCCGCCAAACGTGCTGGACTAAAAGTTGAAAGAATGCTCGCAGCCATCCCTCTAGGATGTGCGGCACTTGGCTTCAACACGTCGTGGGAAGACAGCTTCTCAGTCATGAATCTGAACCTATCTGAACTGCATGTCGGCTCAGTTGTGACTCCGTTCGCAGGCAGGTCATGCTGTGTGGTGCCCTATGAGCAATACAACTCATGTCAAGATGTTTGTGCACAGGCACTGGCAATGTGGATGGCACGCTGCTACCGGACCCCTTGGGCACCGGACCCCTACAATCCAGATAGACATCCGTGCACCTTCCCTGGTTGGAGACCATCTCTTCTAGGTTCTTTATTTTTCTTAAACTGTGCACCCTCCCTGTGAGCCACTGACCTCGCAGCTGCCTCATCACATCTCATTGTGCCTCGGAAAACACCCGAATGCTTCGATGGTCATCCTTGGGAGACCCCGTCGTGTCCCCACCGAACGCCTGGTCTTCTCTCGACGTCTATCTCATTGGCCGCATCCTTTGGCAGCCACATTCACCAGCCCTGCAGGGCCGCCATGGCAGGGATTGGCAGGGCCCTACACGACCTCAGCACTCATGGTCTCCCCTTCGACTTCATCGATGTTGGCCATCTTCTTGAGGGCTGCAGCGGCCTTCTCCTGGCGAAAAAGGCTCAGCCGCCTTTTGCACAGAAAGAATCAACCGTCGGGTCCGTGGCGAACGAAGGTTCGCACTGCATGGCGAAGGACGAACAAACACGCAGCCAGATTTGTCCCAGAAGGTCCCAGAATCCCAACGAAAGAATCACCTGTATAGGCGTGACCATGTTGACGAGTCAGACTTCCGCAGCTGACGAGCAACACATTCCAGCCCCATCTCCTGGAATCGCTCGGACTCACTGCTGTTCCCCATCTCCAGCTGTAGTTCAGCGATCCTCAGAAAGACGGGGCCCGGAGTTCAGCCGACTCCGAGTCCAGCATGAAAAACGCGAGGGCGTATGACACTCGACTCACATCGGTTGCTAGTATACTGGTCCTGCCCCCTTACTGAATTACTCAAGCTGCATCGAAGCTAAAACTGTGGTTTTACTATGGTTTTACGATGTTTTACGAATCCCCGTGGATCCAGGCTGCCCTAGCTTGGATGTTTCCACTGGCACAGAAGCAGCATCTTTGTGGGCGATCTCGGGCTTCTGGGTCCGAACCATGCCGCCTCATGGAGACGTCTCGGCTTCGTGACCGTCCATCCTTTCCGTTCCCCGCGGCGAACATGGCCCACCACTTACTTTGGTCAACCGAGGCTCCTTGCAAAGAGCTTCGAGGCTAGAGCTCCCGTCACCTGGCTGACGTGTTCTTCCGGCCCATGGGCTGCTAGCAGTGGCCATGGAGCACTGAGCATGACTCGGGCTCCACAGACTGGAGCCGGGAACGCAGGTCACGGGTGGAACGATAAGACCGTTCAGAGCATTGAAGAGCATCAAGAACCCAACATCCGAACTGACACACGTTGGAAGGTCAGAATCAAATCCGCTGATCCCGCCTGGCATATGTATGTCATCTAGAATCATCTCCTCCGGACTCCATCCACCTTCCTCACACTGCCCTCACTCCCCTGACCTTTCCTCTGTGTCACATGTGTCCTGCCTTCTCCAACACTTCCCTCTGCGCGGCAGCTGACTGCAGTGCCTCCAATTCTGCTGCTCGGGCAGCCTGCTCAGCATGAAGGGCCCCCAGTTGTTCCAACAGCCTGGCATTGTGGCTGCAGGTGAAGGTGATCTCAAGAATGGTCTCCAGATGTCTCGAGTCCCCCGAAAATGGCCCTGCTGGTACTGGATCGATGATTGATGGCTGATAGCATATATCTTTATTTATTTTATTTAAGGATTCACTGCTATAGAGAAAATTATGTGGATATCTATTCTGCCGTTCCCTTCTATTCGACTAATCATGATCCCAATCGTCCCCCACCCTGTGAGATGCTTCGCCACCTTCACATTTGGTTGGCACAAGTCTGGGGGTTGACCCCACCCACCGCCCTCAGTAAATTGAAAACGCCCAACCACCCGTGGCCACACCCAGAACCACAGACCCCACTGAGGGCCTTTTTGCGGCGCAGCGGTTAACGTAGCGGCGGCGTTTTGCGGCGTCTCTTTGGGATTGACGATTGACCGCACGATTGTGCCGAGAACTCGATGACTGAGTCGAGGACAAATCACATCAAATTGATGCCATGCCATCCCATCAAAACCGGTCGATCCAAAACAATGTTCTGAGCTTTAAATCTGGCGTCTTCATCTTCAACTTTTGAACAGCCTCCCAAATCTGAAGAAACTCTGTCTTCGAGGACCCCCCAGTTCTGGGGGAATATCGACCTGGGCGGTGCAATCGACCTGGGCGGTGCTCCTCCACCTGCGCGTTCTTTGGAAAATTCCGAGCCGCGGCCGGGCGTTTCTTTCAACTGGCCACTGGAGCCACTGGGGCCTTTCGCGCCCTTTCGACACACCACGCGGATGGCTCCACAAAAACCTCGTGAGATTGTTCAACAAAAACAACCCATCAGTACCCATCTACAGGCAAACTGACCATGTGTCCTACCCCCGAAACGTGTGGAAAATCATCCGACGAGGACCGGCGGGCATGAGGCGTCGGTGCGCAGAGCGCAGGTTCGGTCTGCCAGAAAGGGGTCCGATCAGTCGAAGCACGTCTGCTCATGTCTGCTCCATCTGCTTCGTGCCACATCGGACAACCCGATCGAAGAGGAGGCTCGTATCGAGATGGTTGCGCACCGCTGGTGTGGCGAAACTTGATCGAAACACAGCATCTAGACGCTGCCACCGGTCAGAGGTGCAATAATGGAAGACTTGCTCTGGAAGGCCATGTGCTTGGCATCATACAGCATCACAAACCTAGACCTATAAGTAGCGATTGTCATAGGTACACACAACTAAATCTCCGACACCGTCTGAACCCTTCCTGGCACCGAAATCAGCACCGGATACTGGTCTGCTCCCGCTGAGCAGGGAGAAAGCTGCGCGACTGCGCGTGGCTGTTCGTCGTTCGAAGCAGGCGACCAGGCAAACAGGTGGGCCCTAGTTTTGAGACAGGCTATATATATGGCTATATGAGTACCAGTGCCAGGGTAGGTAGGTGGGTAGGGCCCAGGTGTATCAGGAGAATGGCTGCGGGCCATGGTTCGAGCAACTAGAGTAATTTTGGACCTCCACCACGGCAGGCGAGATGAGAAGAGTCTAGACAATTATGTCGTCAAGTTATGTCATATGTCATTATGGTTGTTACTCCTGAGCTCGAAGAGTTCCCGCGGCAAGTTCCTGACTTAGACTGTCTCAATAACATAATACATAATATACGACATATTAACAACATAATACATAATATATATACAAGCTACTAGTAGTGTGCACAGTTTGCCCCATGGTCTGAGAACTGGTCTGAGGTGATGTGCGGTTCCTTTGACACTTGGCCTTCTGGCCCTCTGTTTAGGTCGTGCCGCGTGCGCCCCGTGCAGCCCCCGTGAGCCCGGCCCTCACAGCAATCGAAGCTCGGGACGATGAAAAATGTCCACATAGGTCAACAGGGCCACTGCGCCAGCAATGAGACACATTCCTCACTCCAATCTCTCTCTCCATCTCCAATCGCATTTGGGGATTTGAGATCATTTGAGCCAATTTGGGAGGTGAAACGTTCTGATTTGGTGCCAGGGAGGCCAAACAAAACACACTGGAGCGGGAGCACAAGCTTTTGGATGAGCTGATTCATGGTGCTGGAAATCGCCGTGTTTGCTTTCGTGCGCCTTCGGTTTCCCACGAGCTGAAGCGAAGCATGGAATGACCTTTTGCCGTTGTTCAAGGTGAATCGATGATCTTCAGGCTTTAGCAATGCAGGGACATTTCCGCATGGTTGCCCCTCTTCCAAACCTTCTTCCAACCCCAAACCGGGCAGCTGTGAGGGTAGTTCATGTAGAAAACGGCTGGGCCCAACTCCTGCCATGTCTCGCTGCGGGATGATCAAGAAACGATGTACAGAGTTGAGGAAAACATGCAGGGCTGGAACTCGGAACTCAGAAGAAATCAAAAGGTCAATGCGTGGACTGGATGGTCATCTCGCAAAGTCTAAGACTTGCCTCACAATCTCACGTGTAGAATTGACATCCAAAAAAAGGAGCTGGCGGCAAACCACAAGTGTCACAGAAATGAATTCAAGAGATTTCAATTCACAGAATCGTTCTGAATCACCATCTCATTGCTTCCCCAACGGTCCACGGCTTGATTCATTATCTCATTTCATCTCACATGTTGGTCGCTCCACGGCTTCCCGAATTGAGCTCCTTGTAGGCGGTGGTCCATGCCGCTCTGGTATAGTACGGAGCCCCTTCAGGCTCGGCATGCGCAGCCAACCGTCCTGATGCCGCGTGTGGCGAGGCTTCTGAGCGCCTTTTGCTCTGGGTGCGTCGACCCCTTTTCGGACCATGAGGTCCTCCACCGACTGATCCACCGTGCTATCAACCTACACCTTGTCTCTCTCCTACCATCTCCGCCCCACGTGTCTCCCACCATCTCCGCCCCACGTCGGCTGCCCGACATCCCAGTCCCGCGAAGAGGGAGACGTTGTGCATCCACTGCGTGGCGAAGGCGGTACACGCGCCCGAAGCAAAGCCGGCAGTGAAGCGCAAAGGGCCCTGCGCGGAGCGAGGCGCCGAGCACGGAGAGGTCTGGGGGCGTCGAGCACTGAGGTTTTGAACCATCGTGGATACCCCGCAGGGTCGTTTAGGACGACTCTGAGGATGAAATGGTGGGATATGATGAGTGAAAAGTGGCCTGGAAGTTCTAAACCAAACAAAGAAAACACATATAGTCACATAATAATATATGATAATTAATATAACTTAATACTAAAAAGGTGCGTATCACAACACCCGCCGTTTCACATGTGAGGGACGACACATGTGAGTGACCTCGCGAGTTGAGGGCTCCTCAGGGGGACCGTCCCTCGTCACCTCCACGGCGCTCCGCGTCCACCGTGCCCGTGCCTCTGCAATGTGGACCCCTCCAATGCCTCACGTCCAGCAGTTTTGTTTTTTCGTTTCTTTTGGACCAACGAGGAACACTTCGCAGCACATGGTGGTGCTGAGGTCTAGCTCAGAAATTGCAGCTAAGGACGTCATGCTAATCCAGCTCGTAGATTTCTTGATGACATGAGTACCCATTCGCATTCAAACTCCTGAAGCGATGGTCAACTTCCACCACCCCGCCTAAAGAGAATACTCCAACAACACTCCGATTCACACCCTTTCCCTACCCCCTTCTCGCCCCTTCTGCGCAAGCAAAATGGAAACCTTGCTAAAGCTTCTCCAAGAATCTAGGCTTTCCGGTTTCATCCTGCACTGCAGTTGCTAGGCGCGTCTTCACCACAGGGCCCAGGTACCTCACAAAGATACACATTCGGAGGCCCAGCCAGCCCCAAGTGGAAAAAACCTGAAGAATGAATCAAATAAAGCAAATGTACCTGCCTCATGCGACTAAGGCATGACGTAAAACGACCCGTTCACCACCTACAGTCAGGGACTTCCAACTATATTGCCTCCTCTAAGGACAGAGAGGAAAAACAAAGACTTGCTATAAGGACCTTGCACTTTCAAGCCAAAGAGGAAAACAAAAAAGAACAGCCGTCGCCATACTCAGTTCCAACTGTCCCTCGACTTGACGCTCGCTCCGCAGATCGACATCCGACGCTCCGCGGTCGCCAAGTCACAAGCCCAAACCCATGGCCACACTCTCCCGGCCGAAGCACCAGACCAAACCAGGCTGAACTCCTGGTGTTACACGTGAAGTTGTCCAAACCAACCGAGAAAGTAAAGAAACAAAACAAAACAATACGAAGCCGTGATTGTTTTTGCTTGTTAGTTTGATTGTGGCCGGCCGGCCGGCCGGCCGGCTGGCTGATCGAGAAATAGCGGGCTGTGTTAAGCTCGCAATGAACATGGTGATTCTATACTGCGAATGCATCATGTATGTAGTGATGCTAACATGGAGGGGCTCATCCAGTGGGGCCATCATTGGACCCCAATAGAGTCTTGCGTCGCGTGTCGCCAGTCTGACAGATCGAGCCAGGTCATACTCAACGCATGACGCCACGAACTGGACGCACCCCAAAACAAGGAGCTCTCCACGTCTCCTTTGGCCAGCTCTCTTATGGAAACCGGCTGCTTCGCCTGCCGGTTGGGACTGTGATCGTTCAGTGAGGGCTTGATTGTCGTCCGTCCGGAGGCGATGGTGGGGACAAAGTCCGTCAGTCAGCGTTCGACGCACGAAGAAGCAATAAGAGAACTTCGCTCTAACCCAGACCATCCATGGGACTGCCATATTTGCATCATTGGCGTGGTTTTCGGGGTGAATGTAGGTCAATATGCCATAATGGATGGTCTGGGTAATCACCATCGCCCCAGTAATCCCATGTAATCCCTAATAAAAGTCTCGCCCCAGTCTCCCACGGTGCTCCGGGATTCCCAGAACGGCCAGCTCAGCTCTACCGGTGCTTGCTCCGGTTCTCGTCCGGATCCGATCGGTCCCGATCGATGCCCGCGCCTTGCCCGTGTAGACCTTGTACATCTCCGAGATCAAGGTGTTGTAGATCACCGACTGAAATCCCGTGCCCAAGATACCAAAGGACATCATCGAACTGGCCGCGGGGTGCATCACCTTACAGGTGCCCGCGGAAGCGGTCGACCGT